TTCCGACCGGACTCTTGCGTTTGAGGACTACGCTGCTCTTTGAAAGAACGAGTGGCGAGGGGATATCAATAGGGCCCAGCAATGCGTCAAAGACTTCTGAGGCCGCCCGCAGTCCAGACATGTAAGCGCCGTGTACCGTCGCCGGGTGCGTTCCGATGGTGTGCTCCCCTGCAAAGTATAGGTTGTCAACAGGTTTGGCCATGACATCGTAATCATGAGGATGCATGCCGGGCCCTGAAGACGAGTAGCTGCCTCTACTGAACTTATCAGAGCCCCAACGGGTAATGACCGCCTCGACAGGGAAGGGAACCTTGCGGCCGAAAACACCTCGGAGTATGCCAGTGGCTTCCTTGACGAGATCCTCATTACTTTCTCGCTCAGTGTCGAAGCCTGCAACGCCTGCCATGAGGGCCACAAGGCATGGTAGACCGGTCGTTTGGGTAACGTTGAACCACTGGAAAAACCTTCCGCGTTGTGAGGCGTAGTCGCTCTGAGCCAGGCTGTGCCGGTTCGGTGCGTCTCGTAAGACGCCAAAGATGTGCCTTTCGGTGTCCCAGAAGGGCTTATCATACACAAGGATCACCTTGTTGAGGACTCCAAACCCAATGCGCTCAATGACATCAGTCTTCCATCCTGGCAGAGGCGGGTCGAACTCGACGCTGCCCTGCTTCAAGACTCCAAGTGGTATGGTTGAGACAACATAGTCGGCTTCAACGATGGTGCCGTCCTCACATTCGACAAGTGATCGCTTCAAGCCGCCTTCGCTACTGTACTTGATCTTTTGAACCGGAGCATTGGTCTTCAAGTCGAGTGGCGTGGGGCACAAGGCTAAGCCACGCGGTACCGTCTGGTATCCACCGGCGACCATGGTATGCTTGCCTTCCCATTCATTGCCCGCATCAATGTCCCAATTGCCCAGGCTCAAATTATGCAAGCTCGTAGCGTTGCTGTACTCTAGGTTGGCGACGTGCCAGTTAATGAGCCGATGATCTTGAGCCGTTAGGTCGACAAGGTTGCGATACTGCCCGATAGCCTCGTCGAGGACGGAGCCGAGGGTGGCATCAGACCGGGCCGCCGCGTCGTCGAGATCAATATTGGCCTCAGGTGCGATGTTGTTTTTCAGCGTCCAGCCCATCTCTTTCGCCTTCTCTGAGGCTTTGCTGGTAGCTGGAGTGCCCGGCTCGGTATGGATTCGACCAGTCAGTTTATCTGCAGATACCGGCACGCGGTTTACTCGTTCCGGAACGTTCTGTTGCGAGACGGGCGCTGCGTGAGGCAGCGCTGCTGCTGCTTCTTCAGACTCGGCAATTGTTTTGCTTCCATCAGTTCCGCTGTCGCGCCCGTGCTCTATATAATCATGATTGCCTCTAACAAGTTTGGACGGCTGGTTGTGATGCTTGTATTCGCTGACTCGATCGAGACAGTCGTTGTAGAGTTTCTCAACCAGATCGTCCCTCAATGGGTCCACAGGCCGACCGTTTGAATCGTAAATAGTTGTCTCTGGTCGCAACGCTCGATAGTGAAGGCCCAATTGGCCGCGCAGGAGGACATTGATCGGATTGCCACGCTCAAAGCCTGTAATAATCATACCGCCCATCTCAGCGGTGTACCTTTCGCCGGGGAACCCAGGCACCGACAAGGTAGGCTTTGTTGTGAAGGCTCGTGAATACACCCGACCGCCGACCCTGGTGCGTCCTTCCAGAACGACAACTTTGGGCGGCAATTCGCCCAGTTCTCGAAACTGATCCTTGTATTGTTTCGCCAAGTTCTCCAACTGCCTCGCACAGCCCAGGCCGGACATGCCGCCTCCGATGACGACAATCGTTTTTTGCTTCGTAGCCGGTGGTTCCCCTTCTTTCTCTTCATCTACCGTCGGGAACTCGACACATCCGAAGTTGATGAATCCGTTGCGCACTAACCAATCATAGCAGACGCTGGCGACGTCGAACCATCGCACACTAGCACATCCAATTGCTTGTTCTCGCGTAACGGGCACACGTGGATTGTGGTACCATAGTCGCACAATACCGTTCCTGACATTCAGGTATGTAGTCACTTGGTTGTGGGTGATGTGCTGGCGCAGGAGCTGGTATTCTCCTTGGTGTAATGAGAATGGATCCAGTCTCGAAGCCTCAACGGCGCGTATGCATTCAGCAGCGTATGTGATGTCGTCCAGGCCCGCCGGAACGGAAGACTTGGGCTCAATGTCGTACGTGCGTCTCGGCACCTGGCGAGGTTGTGAATATCGTGCTGATGAGAGATCGGGCTCCTGAGCTGCGTTAAGGTCGACGGGAGTCGTAGCCTTACTAGAGACGGATGACAGCAGAGAGGACAGTTCGGATTGTTCCGACGTATGTGACATTGGGGACTCTAAAGAGTTACGGTTCGTCTGAAGAATGTCGCGGTGAGGCGAGGGTTCTGCCATGCCTTCGTTGCCTGAGAATCTGGGTGAGGTCAGAGGTGCTAAGTAAAGAATCTCAACAGACAACAGTAGATGCAGCTGGCAGCAAGTGATTGAAGAGTAGGTCAGTAGATAATACGTACTCTGCTGGTGAGGCCACAGCTGATGTGGCCATCGAGGTATCGTTCATCGAGTCGTCAACATCCATGTCTTCGCCGTGGACAACAATCTCAGAAGCGATTTCTGACATGGCTTCGAGCGATATTTGACTGCTTGCTGACGACGTGAGATCTCTCAAAGGCGATATCGAGAATGAAGTCTTGGCAGTCTTTGAAAGTGGTGACGAATGCAACATGTGTGAGTTAAGGAACCCTGACGGGGTGAAGAGTTCCTTCCCAGACCCAATTCCCAGCTTATCCCTCGACCTGGGACTTGTTCTCATCGTATACTCGGCCGGCGGGACGATTGGGCTGGTCTTGGGTGGATATATAGGAGTGGTATCTGGAAATCGGATGTTGCAAGAGCAGGGGTTCTCGACCTTACTGCCATCAGAGAGCGGAACGTAGGCGGGCAGTCGGGGCCGATATCATCATCGCGCATCAGATGCTAGATGAGATATTCTGAGTAGACATATTAGTTCCGTGGCAAGAGGGAAATCTCAATTCTGAGAGCTAATATATGAGGTTCTCCTTGTCATACCAATTGAGCCGAGTCCGGGGTGAGGCGAGGATGCAGCCGCTTGAAGAGCGTGGCGAGGCCCCGACCAGCCGGTTCAGAGGCTGAGAGTATGTGGGTGCGAATGCCTCGTATTGAGTTCGTCACTGGATCGTATATTTCGGAGCCGCAGCTATTCTCGCAAGTCGATGCATGTAGATATAAACCCGTAAGACCACTCCTGATGGTGTTGAGCCCGCTGGCGTGGTTCCAAACTCCGCTGTAGAGCCGAAACAGCGGGTCACGTGCATTTTTCACTACCCGTGCTGGATCGTCTTCAACCGGACGTCGCCCCAAGTTCCATTAGACTAAGCACCTCTACATTCCTTATATTCATGTCCGGTTGGCAATTCACTGCAACATTCTAGCGTTGGATGATCCGCATAGTCTCTTTCCAACTGTCATTGATTCGATACGTTTCATACAAAGCGCTGCAGCGCGACTAACCTCGGAGCTCCCAACAAGGGCCTATTTTTGCAATTCATGGGACTTCCGCTGAAGATGCTGAGAACGACGCTGAAAATAGATGATACACGATCTCCCCCTCACAATGTTCTTTGAAGACTCGACATACCCATCTATGATTGCGCTTGGGTGATGGGTTTAACATCCTTCGCATACGACTGTGTTTCAATCGCAGCATCCATCATCCTATTCCCGCTAATGATCGAGGTGGCACAGATGACGATGTTTCTCCGAGCTATTGTCAAAAACGTCAGCGTACCGTCCGGGTGTCCAATTGTAGCAACGTATGGGTTTCGACTTACCTTCCTCCTGCTTCGCGATGAACCTCAATGCAGCGATCTCGGTGAACGTGATACCTCCGACGAATACAATGAAGACTGTCTGCTTCTCGTTACCGCCTGAAAGAAGTGCGCGGGCTTTGACGGCCTTGTCCTCCCCTTTCTGGACATTGTAGAAAGTCTGGCCGCGGACATGTTTGACCGCCTCGTCGAAACCATGCCAACCTTGGGCTGCCGATGCACTATTGGAACCTGTGAAGCCATTGCCTTTGGTGACCGTGAGAAGATACTGCTTCTGGAGCACGCATTGGACAAGTCGAACGGAAAGCGGCGCATATCCACTGTACACGTAGGCAATGTCATTCGGGTCATCTTCCTGAACCTCGTCGACAATGAGTCGCAGGAGACGCCGAAGATGGGAGTAATTTGTCTTATCGCCAGAACTTCCAATCATCCCAGCCAATGGCGACGATCGTGAAAGGAATAGTTGAAGCTTCTCGAGCTTGTTGAGTGTCATGATATGCTGGTACCCGTACCCCTGGAGAATGAGTCGTCGAAATTGGTCGTATTCCTTGGGTTTGACGCCTCCAGAGATGCAAGAGTAGATACAGAGCAATCTAAGGACTTCAGGTAATGGCGTGTCGCGAGCAATCAGTTCCTCGATAGCGTCGAATTGCGAGGATGGATCCGCTCCTGCTGCCAGGTTTTGCTGGACTTCTAGGAGGCCCTTGAATTGATCTGTTCTTGTGTACTTGACAATCTCTTCAGCCAGGCCTGTGTGAATTCGCAGGCTCTGGTGTTCCTGCTGATATGCGGGTAGCTTGTTGACGAAGTCCTTCAGCTCGGCGATCGACTTTTGGTTGTTCCGGCCTTCGTAGTCCTTCTGCACGGTTTGGAGCCGCCGAGCTTGCTGGCCGAGTAAATTGCCAACAATGGCAAAATTCTTGTCGCGAAGCTGTTCGAACTGTTTGTCTGAAGAATCTAGCTGTATCTTCCGCTTGCGTGTCTGCGCACTGGCTGCGGTAGATTGAGCTGGTGCACCAACGACGGTCGTGTCGACCTCTGCCTGATTGTTCTGAATGCCGAAGAGTTCGTCAATGAGGCCCTCGTATGTCAATTGGGTGAGAAGCGGTGTGGCGAAGTCGACTTCGCGGTCGATTATAATGGCACTTTCGATCGTCGTACTCGGGGCCAAACCGCCATCTCGTTGGACTTGAATCGCATCGTCGCCAGCCAGTACTTCCTGTCGCATGCGCGCCAGCAGATCAGCCACACGTTTCGCGTTGTCGCCCTTGCCGATGATTCGAGGGAAAAGTCCATGGTTTTGTTGGATCTCCATCAACGCTTTCGCCATGAGAAACGACGGCGTCATATCTTTGTTCAGGTAGAGGTCGGTAAACGATTCATCAAGTTCGAGTGAGAGAACATCTCTTTCCAGCGGGAAGAAGTGAAGAGGTAGCTCGGATATGTTGACATCTCCCAAGACACCAGCCTCTTCGAGCTGCTTGTCTGAAACGAGAGTTCGTCGTGGGACCCAAAAGATGTGAAACTCGTGACCTGTCTGGCTTTCGCGTTGGAGTCGTCTGATGTGAGCTGGTCATCGTCAACAATCTGTCGCCACATCGCTATTTGAGGGTCCGAAGACGAGACGGGCAGGAATCATCAAAGGCTGGGTTGTGCAAAGACATGGGGCTGGAGCCGACTGACCTGCTATCTTGGGCGCACTGCGGGCGCATTCACCCCTCGCTATGAAGACAACATTGCGCTGGCTGGTATCCGCGTTGTCGTTCTCCAGGAAGAAGAATTTGTCGACTCCGTACTCTTGAAGCGTCGCGACTTTCACGATGGCGCCGATGGGGCCGGCCAGACTGCGCTCGAGAACGAGGTTTAGCTTGCCGCGGACCTGGTCGAAAGCACATTCGATTAGCCCGACATTGACGCTGATGAGGATGGGAATGCCTTACTTACTCCCTCTAGCAGGTTGAGCAGGTCTTTTCGCGCTTTGTCCCTGATCTGGTCGGTATCGAAACTGACTCTCGGGGCCATGCTGGGCTGCCCACGAGGTGTGGTGAGGTAGCTAATCGGAGCTTGGGAGCTTGAAGTACGAGATGCAGGAGGTGACGACGGAGCTCTCCAAGCTTCCGGCGGTTCTATCGGCCAGTGGTTGTCACGACATTGGGTCCGCGTTGGGGAGGACCACTGGCAAGCGGCTGCGTCAGCGGGGCATGCACGGCGGCGGGGAATTGGGGGATCCATCTCGGATGTGTCCCTGAAGCGCCCAGGCTTGGGACATCCGCCGCGAGAATACCAGTCCAAAGCCCTGTCGCGTTCGCCAGCAAACTAGCTTCTGATTCAAAACATCTAGTGATATCATTTTGGGTGTTTCCATTTGAGACTCTAGAGCTTGCTCAGCAAACTTTCGCATAGACCGTCCCTGCTGAGCCTGATGGAAGGCTGCTCGCTGACGGGTCCGCGGCCTATTCCTCGTCACTGTTGATGCATGCTGTGCTCCACGATAGCCGGCCTTCCTTGTCGCAAAGAAGCAGTACCAGCTAAAAAAAAAATCAAGTAATGCCCGCTAGCCCAAACTCCTAAGTAATAACTTTCACCGCAGAGCCATCGGCAGCCAACCGAGTGGTTCCACGTCATGTGGGTGATTCCATGCAAGTAATCGCCGCCTCGTCAGAAACAGTTTGCTGCTCTGACTCGGGGCTAACCGTACCACCTTTGGCTTTGTGACGCTCTCCAATACCTACACTGTGTTATCGTGATAGTAAAAGTCGATGTCTCGTGGGCGCTGCCTATTGCTTCGTACAAAGTCCTCGTCGCCCGGCGGTCGCTCAGCCTTTGAGTTGCCCGTGAGCATGCTCTGCAGGCTCATGCAGATTGTCTCGACGTTCTGCACCGGGCTCCAGCCCTGAGATCCCAGAAGATCCAGGCAGATGATGCCGTTCGAGTAGATGTGAGGGTGTAGGGGGATCGGTCGGTCGGTGGTCTTCGAAAATGTGACCTCGGGGGGTTCTGCCAGGCATGAGCAATCAGGTCGGGACGGAAGCTGGCCAGGATTTCCGAGGTAGAAGGGGCTGCCCACCGATTGGGTATTGAGGAGAGAACTTGAACTTGAGTCTGTAGATCTGGTCGCGGTATATCGGATTGTCGTCCAGTACTCTTATGTCCATGAACCACTCCTCAAAATTGTCCGCAGAGATCAGCTCGATCCCAGGCGGCAGACCATTGTTCAGCTGCATAGGCAGAGAGGGTTAGAGGACGTGCGAGAGATATGGATGGACGCGCGGAGCGAACCTTATTGAGCTCTTTGGCAAGCCTCTTCGAGGCAAAGCTCACTGCCATGATGAAAGCCTACGAATGGCTGGTTTGTCTGGGTGAGGAAGTATTTTTGCGTGGAGAAGGCGGAGGGCGGCGGTTCGAGTCGCAGTGAATGCATTTCAGATGGGACAGGGAAAGCGATAGCGATGGAGGGGTCGAGTGGGATGAATGCCTAGTGGGCCTCAGGTGCCTGTGAGTTGAGTGGACAAGGTCGCTACTGTCGGGGTGGCTCCAGTACCAAAGGGATGCTTGGTTCAGATGGATCCCCAACGATGCACAGGCTGGTGGGCAGGCTTTTTTGAAAGGCACTCCTCAGATCAGCCTACTAAGGTACCTACCTAAGTACCTAGGTAAGTACCGAGCGGAAAGTGCAGTCAAGGATTCTGACGTTTTTCTGACCATGTGCTTTGGCTGCCGGTGCGGCTAATGTTGAATAACAAAACAGGTTGTAAGTGCGTACTAATACATATTTTGCCCTGATGCTATTCTTGGATGGAAAAAAATCCCACGCGACTCTCAGAGGTAAAGTTGACGGCATGTGAAGTTGTGTGCTTTGGTCGATTGCGGCTTGTCTCTTTCAGCCGCGACGCAAATCACCTCTCTCCAATTTATTTGCAAGGGCCCATCTAGGTAGTTTTTGCGTACTCGCTACTTGGCTGCTAATCATAGCTGCTCATCACAGCGACGCAAGCCCTTTTAAAGTAGGCATCTGTGAAGATCGTAAGTTGACTAAGTTTAATCAGATCCAGCGGTCTTCGTCAGCGGCATGTGGGAACCCACCCGGCCACCTGCCGCTGCGATGACGACGTACCATCCCGCCGGTGGACATATTGGCCCGTAGGCCTCCCTCGTAGTGAGATGCGTCCTAGTCCGCCTCTGGTCCAGCCTTATGGAGGCCCCCCCAGCAGCATGCTTCCCGCCCTGAAGGCCCCAGGCTGTTAGCGGCAGGACGGCAATCCTCCGCCACGACGGCACTCTGACGTCTACGCCCAAGGCCACTGACCAACCCCGCCCGGGCTCAGGGGCCTTCCGTCAACCTCTCACAAGCGTCGTCACCCCCAACGCAACCCCACTACGGTGATGACCGGGCCGCTCCTCCTCCAATCCTGCCATCGTCTCTGATGGCCTCTGCCCCTCGTTTCTGCGGCTGAGGGTCAAGCCTTGGGGTTCGTTCTCTGCTCACTCCCCCCAGTGCACCTTCATCACGAGCATCTGGCGGCAAGGCTCTCTTCACCGTCGGCTGACTGGCCATACCCTACATCGCTGACCTTGAACTCTGTTTAAGAAGAAGCGAAACCCTGCTTCGTCTCTGCGTCGGTTCGCCAGGCTTCGCCTTGCGCTTATCGAGTCCAGATTCACGCCGTTCGTACGCGTATCCACATTCGTCTCTGATCACTTCCCGGCATCTGGCCACTGGGACAACAATTACCCCACATCGTCAGCTTCGAAGATCCCACTCAACCAGGCTGTCCAACAACTCGTGCGTTCCTTCCGCCCCCGATTATCCTTCCTGTCCGAACTCCGCTCCGGCCTGGCTGTCATCGGTCTTTCTTTTTTGCAACACGTTCTTATTGTGTCTATACAGCACGTAGTGTTGAACATATCGCACTCTTTTGCTCATCCTGAGCTCCTAACCCCTCCTCCCCCGCCTACCACCTTGTTGCGCCGCGACGCATCACGAACACCTCCCGCCAAGCCAATCATGAGTTGTAAGCCGCTTCTTCCCTCCCGTGCAATCGTCATCGCGCTGTCCGCATCTTTGTCGAGCGCCTCTGCTCCTTTGAACTCGCACCTCGGTGTGGCACAGTCATGTCGCACAAGCTAATCGCGATGCCTCACCCCGCAGTTTCCAACATGCTCAGCCGCCTCCAGGGCCAGCCCGAAAGCTACGACAAGAAGTGCGACACCCTCCCCCCGCCATCGTTGCGACGACTCAGTCCTAACGAATGCGCTATGTCTAGGGCCAAATACCGTTTCGGTCGAACCCTGGGCGCGGGTACCTATGGTATCGTCCGCGAGGCTGACGGCCCGACGGGCAAGGTCGCCGTCAAGATCATCCTCAAGAAGAATGTCAAGGGCAACGAGCGGATGGTCTACGACGAGCTGGAAATGCTGCAACGCCTCAAGCACCCCCACATTGTCAAGTTTGTCGACTGGTTCGAGTCTCGCGTGAGTCGGCTGCTTTTTTATTCCCGATGGCGGGTCGATGCGCAACATATCTGACGCTCCGTATAGGACAAATACTATATCATCACCGAGCTGGCTACTGGTGGTGAACTTTTCGACCGAATTTGCGAACAGGGAAAGTTTACGGAGAAGGACGCATCACAGACTATCAAGCAGGTCTTGGACGCCGTCAACTATCTTCACATCAACAGTGTCGTCCACCGAGGTATGACGATTCAAGATGTTGTCCAAACGTCGCTCAAACCAGCTGACAACCCCTGACAGACCTCAAGCCCGAGAATCTTCTCTATCGCAGCCGCGACAGTGACTCGGAGATTGTTCTAGCCGACTTTGGCATTGCCAAGATGCTGGATCGCAAGGACGAGGTCTTGACGACCATGGCGGGTTCGTTCGGATACGCTGCCCCCGAAGTCATGCTCAAGCGTGGCCACGGCAAGCCGGTCGACATGTGGTCCATGGGCGTCATTACATACACCCTTCTCTGCGGATACTCGCCGTTCCGTTCGGAGAACCTCCAGGACCTCATTGACGAGTGCAGCTCCGCCCAGGTCGTCTTCCACGAGCGCTACTGGAAGGACGTCAGCCAGGACGCCAAGGACTTTATCCTCCACCTTTTGCAGCCCGAGCCCGAGAAGCGGTGGACGAGTGAGGAGGCCCTCAGCCACGCCTGGCTCAGCGGCGACAGCGCCACCGACCACAACCTGCTGCCCGAGATCAAGGCTTACATGGCCAAGGCCAGGCTGCGCGGTGGAATCGAGATGGTCAAGCTCGCCAACCGCATCGAGTCGCTCAAGCTGCAGGAGGACGACCCCGACGACACGGACTTCCGCGACGAGGACTTTGCCAAGCACACAACACTGTCGCAAGACAAGAAGGCACTCTCCAAAGCCGTCAAGGGAGCCATCTTCCGCGAGGTCGTTTTCGCTAAGGTGCGCGAGATGAAGCAGCAGCAGGAGACCCTCACGGTCAAAGAGGAGGCAGAGAAGGAACACAAGAGACGCAGCTTCCATGGGTAGGACGCGGGAAGTTGTAGCAGATGATACGAGACGGGTACGGGCCTCTTACCCCTGTTTCTCCCGAATCTTCGGGCAACGGGCGAGAGTGTTGTGGTGCGGATCGTGGTGTAGTGCCTTTGTTTTATTTGCTTTTTTTCCTTCTTCTTTTTTCTATCGGCCCCTGCTTTGACTCTCTCTCCTTGATGTGTGCTGGGAAGGCAGAGAGACAGAGACGGAGAGCAAGGGGGAGGGAAACGATGGAATACGTGCGTGATGAGGCTCATGCTTCCGCATGGCGGGGTAATTTCCAAACGTTGACGGTTTCTGGTTCCGTACGTCTCTTGTTGTTTTCCCCCCTTCCCGGCTCTTCGAGACAAGTCGTCACGTCTGCCGACAGGGAAATTTCCACAAAGGAATAATGAATGGTCAGGCGAGCAGACGGGTGGACAGATGGGCAGCAAGTTGACAGGATGATGACTCTAGCTTAGCGGTTCTATTGTGTCAAAAGCAGATGGCCTCTGGGCTTCTTTTTTCCAACTTGTTTGATCTTCTGTTTTGTGTTGCATCGCTTGTAACAGCACCGAGGCTCCCATCACAGGAATCGCACCATGATTCAGATAAATCTGCATATGATCGGTCTTGGAATATCATCATCAAAATTCAGCCAGTGCTGCTAATTTGGTATCTCTGTGTCTTCAAATCATCGTCGTCTGGAGCCGAGCGATTGGCTTCGGCCTCCGTATCCTCGCTGAGGCGAGGGGGGGCATATCTGTACAGTTGGACTACCGCCTCCTTCCTTTTTATAAATCGCATCCTCATCCGCCCATGTTCCTCGTTCCCAAAAATAAACCAAGAAATTAATGCATGCTTAACCCGGAAAACTCCGACCGATCCCGGACCACCTAGTCCTTTCCCGGTTTCGTGCGTAGAATTGTTCATCTTGTATGTACATGCTCGTGTGTGAGAAACGTAGTCTGCGTCCTCGCGACTCGCGCGAGTGAAAGAATGGTATCAACGAAAGTGGCGAAGTAATTGTCATGTATGCTATAGCGTTCAGGACATCTCGGCGAGGACGCTTTCACGGAGCTCCTCGTACCTGCGAGGGTTAAAGCGCTGCCGCTTCCATCCTGAGGCTCGCAGGCGCTCAATGCGTGCCTTGAGGTCCAAGGCCCGCATCTCATCATCCTCATCAGGAGTGGCAGCGCGTGTTGATATGCTGAAGCTGAGACGGTGGTTTGCCATCGTGGAGGCCTGAGGAGCCAGCTGAGCATCGACGGCAGCCAGGTGAGAGGCGATTTGAGACCGAAGGCCGACTAGGAGAGCGCAGTATCGGTGAATAGAGCGCTCACGGAGGTAGCCGTAGTCATTCTCTTCACTGTCCTCGATTGGTGGCTCCGGGGTCGGTGCTGAGGGCGACGGTGCCACGACTATGGCGGCGGGGAGCTTGGACTCGGGGACCTCTTGAAGCGATGGAAGGTAGCGAGACCCGTCCACAGGGCTGCTGCGAAAGTCGTCAAATCCAAGTGTTGGAGAGTCGGGACGAATGAAGGGTTCCTGGATCATCGGTTCCAGGTCGTCAATGAAAGTGACGCGCTTCTTCGTCTGCAGAGGTGCGGGGGTGTTGGCGAGTTTGGCCATAGCATCCTCGAGTGAACAGATGGAAGCCGTGGGCGAGGAAAGTTCTGTGGAGTTGCGAGAGGAGATAGAGCAAGAGGGCGAGTGCAGACTCGGGGCAGTGGTGGCGGCCGATGATGGGCGTGAGTAGGTAGAAATGGTCTCGTCGGCAGTCTGGATGAGCTCAGCAGCACGGGCGTAATGAGCACGCGCCTGGTTCAGTAGCTTCGCACGGTAGGGCGACGACGTGTTCAAAGGGCGGGCGAGCATTTCAACAGAGGTGGCAGCGTAGAAGTGAAGGTAGATGAGGTATGTCGGCTCAACATTTGCCTGATCCTTGAAGTTGTCAAGGATCTCGCAGCACCGTGCCGAGCAGGCGCGGTACTGACGGTTGCTGTAGTGGCGCTTGACCTCGGCCACAGCCTTGTTCCAGTCCGCTGCGGTGTAGGGAAGAACAGGCAAGCTTGCAGGAGCTTGAAGAGACAGGCGCTTCGGGCCGCGGGCTTTGGGCCTGGCAGCAGCGGCGTCCAGTGAGCCCATCCTCTTGTGAGTAGTTTGCGTGGGAGGCGGCGATGAGAGAGGGAAAGCGCTGCTGCCAGGACTAAGGAGCATACTGCGACGTGAAGCAGCGCTGGGCGCATGGAGCATCAAAGGTATGAGTCCAGGCATGGTGAGAGGCTTGAAGGGTTGAGTAGACCAGAGATGAGAGTGTGGGTTCAGTGGATGATAAGTGAGGTGAGGTGACCTCTTAAAGTCTGAGGTAATGCACGTTGCCGACCTTGGATTGCGCACAAGCTGAATGTCGCCAATGAGAAGGTGTTTGGGGGTCGGACAAGACAATAAGCTGGTGCGAGTCGAGACTGCTGTCTGACGAGGCAGAAAAGCGTGGATGGTGGTGATGGGTGGTTCGGGCCGCGGGGGGGAGGTCAAGCGAGGAGCAGAGTGATTGTCGCAGCGTCTCGGAAGGCCGTAGATGCCGTCGAGAGATCAAACACTGGTCCGCTGACCGCTGGCGAAGGTGCGAGCTGGGGGTCTCGAAGTCGTCTGAAGATTTGTGTTGAGGCGGCTGAGGTGGTAATTCTGAGTGCCGCTGTGATCGAAAGGATCGTCGACCGGGGTGTCAAATGTGCGGCGCTATCCTCACCGGGACGTGTGTTGACGTGGTATTGAGTAAATTGCTGGTTGGGATGGAGCTGAAAGGCTATCGATAAACGACAGGCGACAGGCAATTTTAAGCTCGAGCGGATTACAGGTTATTGAAGATCTCCTCCTTGGTAGCTCGATGAGGCGAGAGTGGCGGAGGGCGTATAATTGAGACGTGCTGAGGCGTGGAAAGGGGGTGATTGAAAGCTGGTCTGGAGGTTGGGAGCTAAGGGCAGCCGGACCAAAACCCACAGCTCGACAGGCAAGTGGAAGCAGGGAGACAGCGGACACGCGCTGGGCAAAACCAATGACGATGAATGAGGTGACTTGGGTGAGTAAGTTAAGTGCGATGCGACTTGAGGTGAAGGATTACGATGCGCTCGATAGACCAGAAACAAGACGATTGAACAATTGAGGGCTGGATGTTCCCCTTGGACGGGTGGCGCTCCCTCAAGTACGAGTCTTCCGTGCTCCCACCCCCTCTGACTCCTGTGTCTTTCCATCTTATGAGGCCCATTATCAGCTCGTGTCGTAATCTGTCTGTGTGTTAGGTGGTGGACTGAGCGCAGAAAGACAAGGAGGTGGTGGGGCCAGAGGCGATCCAAGGTCCAAGCTGTTGTCAAGCTCCCAGTGTGCCCTCCCCAGTTTTGCCAGTGTGCCGTCCAGGCCGGACCAAGACAGGGGGCAGACTACCAGGGGGCAGGGGTAGATAGATCCACGAGGAGTTTTTTTTTTTTCTTTCTTTCTCTTGACTGTGACCTGAGTACCATGCCAAGCGAGTGGGTTGTGATATGACAGGGTCATCGTCTTAGCATGACCGCAGGGCATACCATATTTTTGATGGCGGAACTTTGTATGGCCAATGCTGCTGGGGTTCTATGGGCGTCCGCCGCCGGCCAAATCACAGAAACTCGTGGCAGAGAGGGGAACAAATAGTGGACATGCGGGAGAGATGGATGTTGCTGTAAATTGGCCGCTCGAGCGTTGGGGTGATCGTGGCTTGGGCCTCCCGGCGCCATGGTCCGGACCATGGTCAAGTCAGGCACCACAAGCACCCACGAGCCGCTCGACCATTGTCTGGCTGCTGGTCGAGACGGGCGGTGCATGGTGGTGCGGGTGTGGCCGTGGCTGTGGCCATGACCGTGTACCCAAGAAAGATAAAAAGAGTGAAAAGGGGAGAGCGAAAAGCCGGCTCTTTGGATGGTGGTGGTGGGATGAAAATCTGAAGTGCATCATGGCCATGCAGCGAGGGAGTCCGGACGAAGTTCCTACTCGTCGGCGCCCGCACATCACTTGTCAAGGGGGCAGTGGCGGGTAGTACAGGGTGCTCCCGACTTCTGCCCAACCTGCAGTGCAGTCATCTATCTGGATGGCAGAAGCAGGTACGACCAGCGGGCTGGCAGTGGGGGGAAGGAACGATGGGCGAGGGGGGGGAGAGAGAGCAAGAAACATCCTTGCCTCCATGTTGGTAGCCCTTGCATCGGATCCTCGTAGTCGGCCAACCTGTGGTCCTTGCGTTGCAGGTTCGCTTGCCTCTATTCCCAGCCTCCACCTTGAAGAGAGAAGTCTCAGCCATCCATCGCCCGTGGTCAATCGAGACATCACCGCCCATGTTGTACCCTTAGCGCGACCCTGACTTTGCCTTCCGACAGCTCTGTAGTACACGCCACCATGATTTGCACCTCGGGGCTCAGGGAACTTCCTTATTATCAAGACCCATCGGTCGACGGTCGAAGAGGGTGAACCCGCAGTCTCGCTTCGCAGAATTGCGCTGGAAAAAGAATCGGATGTCCTTGGAACAAGTCCAACGACACGACATTTCTGTTCCTCGACGCATCCGTCCCAGCAGAAAAGCAACAAGCTTCCGTGTTCTTCCTCAGACACCCAAAACGTTCTGCAAACACACTCGGTTGACGGTAGGTTGTGATCCACAGCCAGTCTTTTTTCCGGAGAGTCGACCCTTGTCTTGACGATAGCATCCTACAACCCTACCTCCTTTGTCCAGTCACGTCGAGGCCCTTCAACACAAAGAAGCAAGAACAAATTGAAAATCGCGCGAGAGCCCACTTCCCCTCCAGGCCTTCCAGGGTCCTGCTGGCTCCATGGGCAAAAGTGAGGGGGCCACAGCGGCATCCCTTTCTGAAACGAAACAGTGTTGCTGCGTGAGGCCCAGCACCGCTACAGTAGGTACGCACAGATGGGAAGGCGTCATTGCCGTTGCATCTCGTGGCTCTGGCAGAATCCACATGCACGCTCGAACCTCTTCCACGTCTGTGTCCTCGGTCGACCTTGAGGCCCGGAGCCCATCTAAGGCATTCGCGCCGCTCTCTTGCATCTCTCGCGGCGTTCGGACGAAAAATCAGCGTAGGATCCTGCACCTGCTGCATGGCCAGCCCTGCCAGAGTAGGAGCGACGCCTTGACCCTCGTCGCCATGTCAAGCTGTGTTGCCTGGCTATGGAACCTAATCGTACCTATGTATGCACTCTGCAGCTTGCAATCAGTCACCCGCTTACTCTCTCACATCAAAGCGCCGTCCTGATGACCCTGTCAATCAAAGTTAATCGGCAGTTAGAATGTTGAACGCCAACAGGCGTCGTCTCGGTCAACTCGGAAGACAGGACGAGAT